AGTATACAGTTCCTGCAGGTGAGCATAAGAACCAAGGCTGGGAGCAGCCCAGACCAGGCCAGGTTACAGGACTCACCAACACATATGTGGTTAGGGTCTCAGGGGGAGACCAGACTTGGTCAGATCATAACACCCACTGGATAAGAAGTGATAACCAAGGACAGAGTGCAGGACAGGCTGGGTTGGGCCACATCAGCTAGTTCACATTGGGGCTGGGACTGGGTGCTGGCTGGGCTGGGCCAGGCTGCAGCACCCACTGGCTAATGATGCGGTCAGGTGAGCCATGCACAAATAGGGGAAAGTACATAAAACACATATGGGAGGGTGTACTTCCCAAGGTTCTCATGTTTGTCTCAGTGTTTGATGTTTCATCAATAGCTTGTAGGCTCTCTGGTGCATGTGTCAGAACTGGGTTTCCTCAGTGGCTTAGATGGAGCAATAGGCGACATTCCCAGATGCACATGGAGGATTTGGCAGTCCATTGGAGCCTGCAGAGGACATCTGGTACCATAATGGGAAGGAGGACAGAACAAGTTGGTCAACTACCCCAGCCAAGCTTGACAGCAAATTTATGGGTGGATGAAGACTCAAAGCAGACTCTGTCAACTAAAGGAACTTGGAAGGATTTCCTCATCCTTGGATTGGTGAGATCAAATAGCATTTCAGAACTATTGAAACCACTTAAGCAGAACCCTCAGAGCATGCTCCACTCCAGGGACCCTGGGATAACATTGGGTGGCCATTCCCCATTCCTGGGTACTGAGGCAGTTGGGAGGCTGGTTGTGGCTTCTCCCATTATCTCTGTCTTCACCCAGAAGAAGAAAAAGAAAATTTGGAAACCAATGGTCTTACCCACTTTCCCCTAAACCTCGATCCTTTTCACCCTAATCAACTATGTAAACTCATCAAAAATAAATTTAAGGGCCCAACATAGTAACCTACTGGCTAAAGTCCTTGCCTTGCCGTGCTGAGATCCCATATGGATTCTGGTTCATGTCCTGGCAGCTCCATTTCCCATCCAGCTACCTGCTTGTGGCCTGGGAAAGCAGAGGATGGCCCAAAGCCTTAGGACCCTGCACCCATGTGGGAGATCCGGAAGAGGCTCCTGGCTCCTGGCTTTGGTTGGGCTCAGCTCAGGCCATTGCAGCCACTTGGAGAGTAAATCATCAGATGTAAGATCTTCCTCTCTGCCTCTCCTCCTTACTGTATGTCTGACTTTCCAATAAATCTAAAATAAAGAAATTAAAATTTTAAAACACATTGTCTAAAAAAACAACTTGAGATATTCCAATCCCAGTTTCCTGCGGACATACACCCTGGGAGGCAGAGGTGCCAGTTCAGACGGGTGGATCCTTGCCACTCACAGAGAAGACCTGGCTAGAGGCTCCTGGCTTCAGCCTTGCCCAAGTACCTGCTGTGGTGGGTCTACGGGGCATGGGCTTTTGGATAGGAGATTTCTGTTTCTTTCTCATCCCGTCTTCCACTTTCTCAAATTAAGTAACCAGTCCTTAAAAATCCCAGTACTACCCAGAGCTATCATTTGCATCAGCAATTACAGCTGGAGTGAGGAGACAGCTGGCTGGTAGCCACCAAGCATCTGGTACCAAGCATAGCAGGTGGAAGGAGAGCACTCAGCACAGCAGTTAAGATGCTACCCGGCAAGCTTGCATCCCATGTTGGATTACCAGGGTTTCAGTTCCACCTCTGCTCTGGATCCCTACTTCCTACTATTGCACACCCTGCCTGGCATCAGGTCATAACCAGTACTTCAGTCCCTGCAACCCACTTGGAAGACCTGGACCAAGTTCCTAGCCTCAGCCCTGGCCTGGCCCAGTCCTAGCTATTGCAGTCATGTGGCAAGTAAATAGGCAGATATAAAATCTCTCTCTCTCTCCCTTAAAAATAAATAAAAGACTAAAATTTTTATTTTTACTTGAAAAGCATATTTACAAAGAGAGGGAGGGAGAGAGAGAGAGAGAGAGAAAGAGAGAGATCTTCCATCTGTTGAATCACTCTCCAAATGGCTGCAATGGGAAGAGCTGGATAGCCCAAAACTTTCAGCCTAGGGGTTTCTTCCAGGTTTCCTATACAGGTGCAGGGTTCCAAGGCTTTGGTCCATCCTCTATTGCTTTCCCAGGTGACAAGCAGAGAGCTGAATGGGAAGTGGAGCCACAGAGACTGGAATCAGCACCATATGGGATGCTGGCACCACAGGAAGAGTCTTAGCCTGCTGTGTCATGGCATTAGCCCAAAAGTTTTAAAAATAAAAGAAAATCTTGGGGCTGGCATGGTAACTTAGTAAGTTAATCATCCACTTGCAAGTGCTGGTATCCCATTTGGGCACTGGTTTGTTTCCTGGTTGCTTCACTTCTCATTCCTGCTACCTGCTTATGGCCTGGGAAAACAGTAGAGGATGCCCTAAGTCCTTGGGTTCTGCAGCCATGTGGGAGACCTAGAAGAAGCTTCTGGCCCCTGGCTTCAAATCAGCCCAGCTCCAGCCACTGTAATCATTTGGAGAGTGAACCAGCAGATGGAAGACTTTTCTGTCTCTCCTTCTCTCTGAAAATGTGTCTTTCCAGGAACATCTTTCTTTTTTTTTAAAGAGTGGCATGGCTAGTTTGAGAAAGCAAAATGTAATTTGTATGACTGAAAAACTTAATATTAGAAGCTAAAACTAAGCAATGCAGTGGGATGGCATTTTGGTGTTGGGGCAAAGCCACTGCTTACACCACTGGCATCCTGTGCAGTGTCAGTTTGTACCCCGGGTGCTCCACTGCTGATCCAGCTCCCTGCCTAATGGCCTAGGGCAAGCAGTAGAAGATGGCTCAAGTGCTTTTGCACCCCCTCAGCCATGGGGAGAAGCCACTGGTTTTGGTCTAGCTCAGTTTTGTCCTGGTCAGAGGGGGAAAGAGCCAATGTATGGAAGATTATTTTTCTCTCTCCTCCCCTGTTAGCTACTCTGATGTTCAAATAAATAAATAAGTCTTGTTTTAAAAGATTCAATTGACAGGTTCCACAGCAGATTAGATAGAATTAAAGGAAAACCAGCTATTTGTAAGCATGTACAAAGTAAAAACTTACCATAAAACAACTGAAAGATGAAATAAGTGGAAGGATGTTAGAAGGATACAAAGGGAAAGAAATACTTAAGAGACCAAACAGAAAACACAAAATAAGATGGTTGATGTAGCTTAAATATGTTGTGGGCTATCACCAAGCATAAGCAGATGAAATACTCCAGGTCAAGGATAAAGTCTGGCAGAAGTGGATTTGAGTATGACGTTCTAAACTGTTTACAGTAATACAAACAACAGAATAAGGAAGATCAGAAGTAAAAGGAATAATAATGATATACATGTGAACATGAACCAGAGAAGCTGTATTAACTTAGAATTGATAGTATAGGCTCGAACAAAATTATTTGATATAAAGAAGATCCTTTATGATAACAGTTCAGCTCATAAGGTACAAAGACTCAAACTTCTAAAAAACATTTGTTGATTTTTATTTGAAACGCAGAGTTACAGAGACAGAAGGAGAGAGAGAGAGAGATTTGCCATTCACTGGTTCACTTCCCAAGTGACTACCTATGCCCGAGCTGAGCCAACATAAAACAGAGGTCCCGGGATTTGGACCTCCTCTGCTGCCTTCCCAGGCCATTAGCAAGGAGCTGGATTGGAACTGGGAGTTACTGGGACTTGAACCAATGTGCTATAGGATTCTGGCACTGCAGGCAGAAGCTTAGCTCACTATCCCACAGTGCCAGCATAAAGGCTTAAAATATATGACATAAAACAATGTATAGAGGGTCTGGATGCTATGGCTCAGTGACTAAAACCTTGCTTTGCACATGCTAGCATCCCATATGGGAACTAGTTCATGTCCTGGCTGCCCTGCTTCCCATCCAGCTCCCTGCTTGTGGCCTGAGAAAGCAGGCCCAAAGGATGGCCCAAAGTCTTGGGACCCTGCACTGCATGGAAGAACTGAAAAAACCTCTGGGTCCTGGCTTCAGATCAGCTCAGCTCTGGCCGTTGAGGCCATTTGGCCATTTGAGCCAGCAGATAGATCTTTCTGTATCTCCTCTCTGTAAATTTGCTTTGCCAATAAAAACAGATAAATATTTTTAAATGTGTAGAATGTAAGAAAAGAAATAGAAAATCACTGTGGCAGATATTTAACTTATCATATTTTTCTTGGTAATTAATAAAACAAGCAAAAAATATAAGCATACTAACAGGAGTGCACCATGATGCAGTGGGTTGAGCTGCCTGCGATGCCAGCATCCCTTTGGGCACTGCTTTGAGGGCAGGCTGCTCCATTTCTGATCCAGCTTCCTGCTAACTTACCTGGGGAAGCAGAGGAAGATGGCTGGGGTACTTAGAACCCTGTCATCCCTATGGGAGACCTGGATGAAGTTCTTGGCTCCTGACCTAGCCCTAGCCTTTGCAGCCATCTGGAGGTGAATCAGCAGATGGAAGCATTCTCTCTCACTCTCACACTCTCTCACTCTTCTGCCTCTGTAACTCTCTCAAATAAGAAACCACTCAAATATTTTTTAAAATCAACATATATTAGTGTGTGTGTATTCACTCAACCAAAGACCATACTGCACCCAATAATTTTGAAATATCTGCTTTCTGAGCACATGAAAGATCTGCAGAAATAGCCCATAAGATAAATCAAGCGCAAATCTTATTTTCAAAGAATTGAAATCATATGAAGGATGTTCCTCAGATCTCAAGAAAGGGTAAGCATTGATAGGAAACGCAGATACTCCTCATACACCTATAAATTGAAGATTGTAATGGTAAATAATCCATAGGTCAAACCAGCGATCACAGACAACATTATGAAAGCTATACAGCAATGAAAAGCACAAAATCAGGGCTCCCTGCAGCAGCATGAGCCAATGGAACCAGATACGCTGGTTTAAACATGGTCTCATTTAAATAATGTTCATAGGCTCAACTACATTATTTGGGGGTACCATGAAGAAAGAATGCTATGGAAGTGAGACTGCTGGACACCCCTTGCTGGTGAGGATGGGAGCCTGTCTGGGAAGGGCTGGTGGTGTCTCATAGTCATCACCCACTGGCACCCTCCCTCCCACGTGTCCAGCTTTAAATGTGATTGTTCTGTCTTCATTGCGTGAAGATAAGGTTATAGCTGTACCACGTAAGAGCACCTTTTTGACATTGTTTGAAATCCCTGAGTATTACAGGACCTTTGGGAGAGGAGCGTGTTTCTGTATCGTCACTGGTCCGTGATTAGAGCTTGCTTTGCCTCTGCTATCTGGCGAGGAGATCAACCGTGGCCCTTGCCATCTCCATCTGTGTTCCTGGTGGAATGATATAGACCCAATCTTCTACCACAGTGTTTGGCTTCCTGGTGGCTGGACCTCTGCTAATGTTTGCAGTCTTAATTGGCAAATAGATCAACAGGAAGCCAAGAAATAAAGGTAACACGCTTACTTATCATGAAGTGTATCATTGTCTCACTAGTTTCCCCCCCCCCCCCCAGGGAGAGCTTTTTAGGGGCATGAGGAGTTATAGACACGAACATAAAAAACAGCAGAGTGTAACTTGAAAACTCTAGGAAAAACTTTATACAGTTTTACATCGTATTCTCTGGGTGTTGAAATTTTGAGATTTTATTTGCTTATTTGAAAGGTGCAGAGAGATGGGCCTGGTGCAGTAGCCTAGCAGCTAACATACTCACCTTGAGTGTGCCAGGATCCCATATGGGCACCAGTTCTAATCCCGACAGCCCCGCTTCCCATCTGGTTCCCTGCCTGTGGCCTAAGAAAGCAGTTAAGGATGGCCCAAACCCTTGGGACCCTGCACCCATGTGGGACACCCAGAAGAGGCTCCAGGGTCCTGGTTTCAGATTGGCACAGCTCTGTCTGTTGCAGCCGCTTAGGAAGTGAACCATTGAACATAAGATCTTCCTCTGTTTCTCCTCCGGGATATGAATTGGCACCCATACTGGATGCTAGCATTTGCATGTTGAGAATTAGCTAGTTGAGGAATTGTGCTGGCCCCTAAAACATGCTTTCCTTTTCAAATATTTTGCTGCTACATAGATAGATTTATCCATATATACATATATATGTGGGCCACCAGGAGTGTCTTCCCTTCCACCTGCGCCTTCAGAGTGAATGTCCCAGACAGACCCATGTGCCACTGGGTCGTGGCTTCCCACCCAGCCACACTCCCTGGTATGGACGTGGCTGCACTTTCATTGATCCCTCTTCAGTCTTCACAGGGTGGATCTGAGCCCAAATCTCACAGACAGGAAGACAAGGGACAGCAGGGGATGTGTCTGCCTGGTGCAAATTAACATCCGGTATGGAACAGCCAGTGGGGCAAGCCTCCCAGTGCGGAAGCTTGGCATTAGCACAGGGACATTCTCTCCAAGGTCTTTGTGTTCCCTAGGTGACTCTGAGCTGTCAGATAAATGCACAGTGGGCCAGGAAGGGTTATGCTTAGGTTCCAAACTCTCCTCCCGTCACCCTCGGGTAGGTGGCCAGATACGCAGCAGCGGTCACCTTGGCAGCCATGGCACAACAACACTGAGCTCCGTTGTTCAGGAGGGACTGGGTCATGAGCCTCACCGTGACAACACAGGCCCATTGGCTGGTCAGCAGCGCCACCAGGGGCCTATGGTGAGCTGAGAAGTGGAAAGTTGGTGAACTAATTAGGGTCCCAAGGGAGGCATTTAAGAGGATGGTACAGTTGTCTCCTGTGGGGTTAGGATGCCTTGGATCCCCAAACCATCGGATATCCAAGTCCCTGATGTAAAATATATTTGCATGGAACCTGGGCTGTCTTCTCCAGCGCTTCACATCATCTCTAGGTTTAAAGTGGAACCCAAATGCTACGTAAGTAGATAGGGGAGAATGATAAGAAAAAAGCCTATACATGATCAGTATAGCAATGTGATTTCCTTCCCTCCAGCCTCCAAGTGTTCCTGTGCCTGGTGGAATCGTCTGGCATGAGGAGAGAGGATGGACTGTAGTTGGGGGTCTATGAGCGGCCTTCCCAAAGGTAAGCTCCTTCACTTCTTACTTCTTCATCTGCAGAGTGGGAGAAATACTGAGCGTGCACGCACACACACACACACACACACACACACACACACACACACACACACACAGCTGAGTTTGGGGATGAAATCTACGAGACATAGGATTTGTAATGCATTTGCCATCCCCTCTTTGCATAGGAAGCAGCTAAACAACGGTGGATACTATTATTATTGAAAGGATAAACAGATCCTTCCTTCAGGAAGGGAATTCTCAACACGCATAACAGAAGTTCCCTGGTGAATTTGGAGCTGAGGATGAGTGAGCTCACAGAGGTGCCCACTCTGGCTGGGGATAAGCTCCCACTCCCCCCCCCCCCACACCCCAAATTCACGCTCGAATCTGATGGCTGGAAACCTCTGGTGGTAGAGGTAGCTTTTTTGTTTTTCAAATAAGTGGAGTTACATAGGAGAATCTGGTACCTTGTTTATTTTCCCCTTCCATTTATAGAAACTTGGATCATTCACACTGTAATACATGCAAATTGCCAAGTTCAAGCTGCAGCTCTTGTCCTGCCCTGATCTGTGCCATTGGCGCTCCCCTGCTGGAAAATGTTCTGGAGCGTTGAGGGCCAAGATAAAGAAAGCTATTAAGGAGGAGTCGATTAAAATACATGCCTTCCAGAGGGTAGGAGCTCCTTATAATCATGCTTCTTTTCAATTGCATCTCCTCAGATGTTCTGTGGCTTAGAGAACACCAGCCAAAATAACGCAGACACGTGAATCAGAGCTGGGTTAAAGGGTAAAGAAAAATCTCCACAATAATCTCTGTTAACTGATCGTAGAGAAAGCCACGATGAATCAACTCTAGAATGACCAGCAGACTCTAGATTGATCCCATAAACACAGGCTTCAAGAAATGGTAGAAGAGAGTTACAAGAATGCCCCCAGCAGTCAGGCTGCTTGGGTTTAAACCTCAGCATCAGTGCTCACCTTCCTTGTGACCTTGAGCAAATCAGTTCACCTCTGTGCGCCTCCATTTGGAGCCTGTCAAAGGCGAACACAGTCAACCTCTTGAGTCGTTTAAGGGAGATGAAGAAAGCCGCACCCAGGACGTGTGTTCAGCTCCTCCTATCCTTGCCCTCTGTGCTCTGGAGTGGCAGTTTTAATTTCAGCTGCCAGGTCATGATGGTTAAGCTAGCGGAGTGCCATGCAAGAGGGCTGAAGTGGGAGCTATCAGGCTGTAGCACAAGCTGCATGGTTTCTCAATCCCTCCACCGACTCCTCCAGTTCACCGTTTAAGTTCCAACAGAGCTAACCTCATGGGTCTTTCCCAAATGGAAAAATCTTACGATGAATTCACAGGTAAATCAAGAGAAACTCTGGCTGTTTCCACCAGGATTCACCGGCACATGCGTCCTGTTAAACTCATCCGCAGGAAGGGAGCGTCTTCTGAGCTGCCACATCCCCTCCCTCTCACAGGGATGAACGTGGCAGCACGGAGGCTGCACCTGCTCTGCTCCCCTCAGGCACAGGCGAGGACGTGCGTGTCTCGTGTGATCCGTCGTGGTTTCCTCCTCAGCTGGAACTTGGTTTCACTTCTAGCAGTGAAATTTCTATGTCTGTCCAGCATTTATCGACTGGTTCCCCCAAGTGGCTGTAAAACTCCAGCAACACGCAGGCAAGCACTTCCTAGAAAGGCAACAGGAAGCTGCAAAGTTCAGGGTAACACAACCTCCAGAAGAGCCCGCGCTCTTCCCCCCCCCCCCCCCTTAAGTCAAGTGTTTATTTATCCTTTTCCAGAGCTCATGTCTGATCCTATTCTGCCTGCAGATGTACCTAGACATCGGGATCAAATGAGAAGGCTCCTGATGATATGGCTGATCTTACTGGAGCGGGCAGGTGCACAGTTACCCAGGTTATGCACTGAGTGACCCCCCATGAGCTCCAGTCAGACTCCAAGGTAATCAGCACCTGCAGGGCACAGTCCTCTTCACCCGACGCGCGCAGCGCCCCTACCTGGTCATGGCGGGAAACACATCCAGCCGGTGGCAGGGCGCTATCTAACACTCTGCATGTTCTCCATCTTTGCAGTCTGAAGTCCATTTTTTTTTTTAAGATTTATTTATTTATTTACTTATAAAAGATGTATTTTTATTGGAAGGCAGATATACAAAGAAGAGGAGAGACAGAGAGAAAGATCTTCCATCTGATGATTCACTCCTCAAATGACCATAATGGCTGGAGCTGTGCCTATCTGAAGCCAGGAGCCAGGAGCAATCCCAGGTCTTCCACGCGGGGGCAGGGTCCTAAGGCTTTGGGCCGTCTTCAACTGCTTTCCTAGGCCACAAGCAGCGAGCTGGATGGGAAGCAAGGCTGCCGGGATTAGAACTGGTGCCCAAATGGGATCCCAGAGTGTTCAAGGCGAGGACTTTAGCTGCTATGCTATTGTGCCCGACCCCATAAGTCCTTTTGATGTGGCTGTTTTCTCACTCATGCTGAGCAAAAACTCGTCTTCAAACCACAAGCTGCTGGAGGAAGGCTCAGTACCTGCTTTGAAAAGGGAGGGACTTGGACCAACCCATCCTTGCGGACTGCTCTTCCATGCAGGGCACTAACAGCACAGTCCTGTTTGATGGCCAGTGGGAGTGGAGGAAGACTAAGTCTTACATCTGTTATATTAGCTCCTCCCCAGAATGGGTGTGTCAGAGGGCACACAGGGCATGGCCCATAGCCAGCGACACTGCTGAGTCACCATAGAAGCATTTGATGGTCCCAGCACCATGCCACAACATGTCTGAGGATGTGTTGTTATGTGACGAGGACTGTCCTAGCCACTGGGGATACCGAGTGATTGGACCACACGAAGCTTTATCTTCACGCAGCTCATGGTCCAAGCAACAGACATGACAGAGAACAGGAGACTTGAGAACACACACACACTGGAAGGACCCCTAAATCTGGTCTTGAGGGGTGGAGTGGGAGTGTTGGAGAGCCCTCCTAAAGGGAGTTACTGTGAAGGGATAGGGCAGGGTGCTCAGGATGGTAGTGCCAAGTCTGCAAAGTGAGTGCAGTGCGGTCATCTCCCGGATGCCAACAGACAAAGGCCATGGGTGGCATCTGTGTGTTCTGATCCGGATCCTTTTCCTACGGGCTGGGATGGGGAAAGAAGGAAGTGATCTGCTTGCTGCAGCCAGGGCCTTCCTCGACTGCCTGGAGGGCAGCGTGACCCTTTCCCGAGCACAAGGGGCCCAACTCTGAGGGCTGCCTTAGCCTGTCTTCTGCCACTGTCACAGATTGCCGATTTATGGCACAGAGGTAAACACTTTCCGACAAAAGCAAAGTAACAGAACCTTTGTTGCAACAAGACTTGACACCAGGTGTAATAAAAGTCACTTGGGTTTTTTAAGATTCAAGGACTGTAGCTCTTGGCACCCTCCATGAAGAACTCATCCTCAGTGCCTCCTTCGCCCTGGCTACTTTAAGCACCACATGGTATCAGCAGAGCATTTACCAACTGCCTTTACAATCGCCACATGCCAAGCACAGCGGGTAGGGATCTTGCAGGACAGCCTGGGTCATCAGAGTATGGTGCAGGACAAGGTCCCTGGCAGACCACACTCTAGAGACCTGTGGCACAGGTCACCTGTCAGAGCTCACAGGTGGGGGTCCTAGCAGGATGGCTAGGGCAGCCCAGGAGGCAGTGGGTGACCCTCTAACAAAGACATGATAGAGTACATAAGATAGTTTCTGCTTTCAGTATAACTTTTATCTGAAAAGCAGAGACAGAGCCATTCCTTCTGCTGGTTCGCTACAGCCCCTACCCTGCCCCCATTCTCTGAAAATGCCCAGAACAGCCAAGGTTGAGCCAGGACCTCAATCCGAGGCTCCCCATGTGGGTGTCAGGAACCTGAACCACTTAAGCTGCCCTCCATGGTATGCAGCAGTAGGAAGCTGGAATGGAGTGTGGAACTAGAATTCCAACGAGGCACCCGGCTAGGAGAGGCCACCGCCTCGGCCAGGGTCTTAACTGCTGCACCAAACTCCTGCCCCTCTGGATAACTTCTGGAGTTCAGCACTGGGTCCAGGGATTGGCTCAGAGGCAACCAGGAGGTCTCTGCTATGTCAGAGCTGGGTCTGAAACCGAGCAGCGAGGCGGGAGCTGGGGGCAGGTCCCAGTTGGCGGCAGGTCCCAGTTGGCAGCAGGTCCCAGTTGGCGGCAGGTCCCAGTTGACGGCAGGTCCCAGTTGGCAGCAGACATCTGAATCTCTTCCTGAGGCAGACATTGTCACCTGGAGACAGCAGTCATCCCTGCAGCTCTGGCTTCACCCTGCTCGCTGCCTCCACAGCAGGCCTCAAGGCTGCTTCTAAAGCAGGGTCGAATGTGGCCTTTCTCTGTGGTTGAAAGCAAGGTGGGATGTGGCGAAGTCAAAGGGAAGACGCTCCCTCCTCTACTGCTCCACTCAGCCAGGAATGAAGGAGAAACATTGATACTGGAAGTAAATTTGAAGCCTGAAATTTTGCTTTCTGTCATTTAAAAAAAAAGCATTTAGGGGCCAACACAGGGGTTGAGCAGTTTAAACCTCCACCTGCAATGCTACCTGCAATGAACGAGAACCGGTTCATATTCCAGCTTCTCCACTTCAGATTCAGCTTGTTGCTCATGGCCTGGTAAAGCAGCAGAGGGTGGCCCAAGTCAGTGGGACCCTGCACCCAAATAGGGGACCTAGAGGAGGCTCCTGGCTTCAGACAGGCTAAGTTTCAGCCATGGTGGCCATTTGGGGAATGAACCAGCAAATAGAAGACCTCTCTCTCTTTTAAAGATTTATTTATTTTTATTGGAAGGTCAGGTATATTGAGCGAGGAGAGACAGAGAAAGATCTTCCATGCAATGATTCACTCCCCAAGTGGCCGCAATAGTCGGAGCTGAGCCGATCCGAAGCCAGGAGTCAGGAGCTTCTTCTAAGTCTCCCACAAGGGTGCAGGGTCACCTCAAAGGGTGAGGCTTTGAGTCATCCTTGACTTCTTTCCTAGGTCACAAGCAGGCAGCTGGAGCAGAAGCCAGGCATTCAGGACTCCAACAGGCCTTCTGATGTGGGATGCTGGCATTACAAGGAGAAGCTTCACCCACTGCACCATGGTGAGAGCTTAACTTTGCTTTCTCTTTCCAACATTGCTTGCCTGAGCCACAAATCCCCCTTAGTTCCCTCCTGATTCTGAATCCCATCCTTCTCCCACCCTGTTGCCCTTTGACCCAGCTCCTCCTGGAGAACCTTCCAGAAGCAGAGTGAGGGGCTGTGCATGCATGCAGTGACTTCATGGGCTATCTCACGGACCTTACCCTCTTCCTCTTGCCGGGCTAGGCCAGTGGCGCCAGCAGTTTGGTGGGCTGGCTGGTCTTGGTCTCTATACTGTTTGCAGTTACAGACCATGCCCTAAACTTGTCCTATGCAAAAAGGTGTGAGGTTTGAGAGCCCCGTGTAAACATGGGCGCAGTGAGGCCTTTAGTCCCAGAGGAAGGGGTTGTTCCTGGCTTCCAACCACTCCCGCTGGTAAAGCCCCTCCCAGCTCCTGCTGAGCATCCCCGTGACCTCCCACCTTGGCAGCCATGCTTCTACTCCAGCTGTTGCTCTTGAAGGAGTTGTGGTAGGTTTTGTTTTTTGTTTTTGAACCTATTCTTCAGGCTCTAGAATTGACAACACTTTGGGGTCAGTTTTAAAATGATAGAGGTAGGACACCATTGTTCAAGTTTGGTCTCAGATCTTTGGGGGATCCTGCTAGCTTGGGAATGCTTGTTTCAAGAGCTAAGTACTTCCAATGAGGGTTGGAGTTCTTTGTGGGAGAAAAGAGACAAAAGGCATCGTGGTGTGATTTAGGGACTCAGAGGCTGGGACAGGGAAATCCCTTCCCCGACATGGACAAGCCTTGCCCCAGTGGCCAGCTCCCAGGGTGCCACTAGTTTGCAATCAGTTGGTCAGCGGTTGCTGGTCACTTACAGACTATCAATCCTGAGATCCGTTTTCATAGGAGGTTGGGAGAAAATGCTTTAAACTGGTAATGAATTACTGTCTTCGAAATGCCACACTCTATCAGTTCCACTGAGAATCGAGGACCGCGATGCTACCACTGGGGTCTGCTTGGGCCTCACAGCTTGGGGAGTTTTTTTCTATGTGTGGGGGAATTGCGTTTTGGGAGCAACCCTGCAGGAAGCCCCTGAGAAGGTGGGCAATGGTGAGAGTGACTTCTGCTGAGTGCTTCTTAACTCCCTCTGCCCTCCTGGACCACACCTGGTTGTGGGGTGTCTGTGTCCTGTGCTGTGGGGGGATGGTTTGCAACATCTATGGCCTCCTCTCACTAAGGGCGGGGCTCCCTTTCCCTTCTCCCCTGCGCTGTCCCCCCCCTTCCCCACCCCCCACCGCCCTGTGATGATATTCCACACATTCCAGTGTCTCTGAGGTTCATCCATTAAGAGTTGCTGCAGGGGAGAAATGTGAAGACAATGGCAAGAATGCATTAAGTGTTAAAGAACAAAATGTCATTATCAGAAGAAAGAAAACCACAAAAGATTTCACACAGATCTGCTCAAGAGATAATGAGGGGCGGGGAGAATCTTGTAGAACATTCTGCTTCACATACTGGAGTTTTTAAATAGAGCACTTCCTACAAATTCTGGGCTATTTCTGGTGCTACCTCCTCCAATCTCACCTCCCATGGAGACACTTTAAAACTACATTACTACACACACACCACACACACGCCTACAGCACACACACACCACATATCACCCTCCCACATACATATAAACAACATATACACCACATACCTAACACTACCCACCTATACCCACGATATACATACCACACACAAACATACAGAGCACACACACAACACACATACGCCACACATACACACACAGGCATAAACCACATCCCCAAAACAACTGAAGCAGGAAACCAGAGCCATTTCACACGGCTCTTTGCTAAGCTTCCTCACTGCTCTGATGAGATGGCCTGCACAGCACCCATCAGTCCCAGAGGATGCTGAC